GCAGAGGGACTGGACCCTACTTCTACCTGGTTTAGCCTGGGCATCTTTCTGTGAAAGCCGGCACCTGGCCACATGCCTCCACAGCGACTTTCGCTTAAGCAATGCCCCACAGTCTATACAGTGCAAAAACTCACTGGATTTAACTGGGGAATTTGGCTGTTTAGCTGGGACTAAAGTTCCAATGCCGGCCTTTAAAACCTCAAAATTGTGCTCACGGTTTCCACTATTCCTGATCAAATCAAACTGAAGTTTACGTGCTTTAGATTTCACAGGTAGAGCCAATGCTCTGGCTACGTCACTTTCTTTCCATGTTTTCTAGTCAAATGACGGGACATTTTGTGGCAGGACATTGAACAGTAGAGGCAGAAGTGTCTCTTGCTGTATACTCGCCCCCCATTTTTCTTCTTTTGCAGCTGCATGATAACAATCTTATTTGCCTTTGGTTCGTCACTTTCCGAGTCTTGAAGAAAAGTGTTTTTGATTTTTCTTTTTCCATACTTTTTTACAGGTTTCTTCTTGACAGTTAAATCGTCAGAATCTGAGTCGACTTCATCAATTAGGGACTCTTGACTAAGCTGCACAAACAACAAATAATTTGTAATCATTCTATATAACAATTTGAAGTCATGACTTGTAGTCAGCACTTACCAGTGGTTTGTAAGCGTGCGCTTCAGTGTGCTCCTCCATGATTTCTTGCAGCCTAATGAACCACACACTTGCACCTTTTTCTAGCCTGACACCTGATTTCCTCTGTTGTGCTGCTCCATGATTGGCTCCAGCCTGCTGGACTGAAATTGCCCCAGTGTGCCCCTCCTTGATATCCCGCAACCCACCACCAGGGTTCCGACACATAACACACTTTTTTCAGGAAAGTAAACCTCCAGGGGTCCTTTCCATATTTTTACAGAGACTGCATAAGGACCGTTAGAAAAGCATTACCCATTGATTATTAAGCTTGGACCAGTGGGGTCCGGTGTTCGGGCCCCACCACGTAAAACCAGTCCCCATGACGTGAGTGGAATCTCAGGTTATGGAACCCACCAGGAGTTGAAAACAAGTGCACACACACTCACACACTCACACACACTCACACACACTCACACAGAGGCACTCACACACATACATACACACACACACACACACACACACACACACACAGTGCAGACGTGACAAAGGCCTTGTTCTAAACAAACACTGAAGGCTTCAGTGGAGGAGACATGATCACTTTCGCTTTCATTTACCTGGCGCCCCCTGCAGGTGACAGCCAGACACTGTCAGACCTCTGAAGCTAAGCAGGGCAGGGCCTGGTGAGTGCTGTGATGGGAGACCTCTGGGAACACCAGGTGCCACAGTGGGGCAGCTGCGGCTCTGAAGTGCCAAAACTGTGGTTGTGTCCTTGGGCAAGACACTTTCAGATAAACTCAGACAAAACTGAAAGGATTGTCTTTGGTCCCGGAAACAAAGAGAGAGTATAGGGTGATGTAGCCTCCAGAGTGTGTCCGTCCTCTCTTTCTCTATGTACAGATCTTGGCGCTTTGATTTAATCCTACCCAGAATGCTGAATCAGAATACTGAGATAATCAGTGTGACAGTCTGAGCCTCAGGTCACGTGACGTCTGTGGTGGTTAAAGCTCGTGGTTCTGACTCTAAGACGAGGGGAGTGCTAGATTTGTGTGCGTTGCATTTCTTAAACAAGCAAAATTGACTCACAATGGTTCAGTCTATTAACTGGGGCTGGAATGCGCAAAAATGTGAGGATTTCGATAGTGTTGCACTATTTGGGCCACAATTCAATATCATTGTGATTCTTAACATATTGCGATACAGACAGTATGTAATTCTGGGATATAGTGTGATTTCTGTCCCTAATTGTATAAACAAGACACACTCTGTGACATTTATAATAGTATGAACATGAAATGAAGCGGGAATAGCACGTGATCCTTGAACATTTAGGACATAGGACCTTATCACAGACATTATTCTTCTCTTATAGACGACTCTCAGATGAAAAGGGAGCTCACATCACTGACATTATTCAAATACAGTGTGCTTGGTAGGTTCTCTGTTTATACTTTGTAAATGTACTCAATGTAAACAATTGCAGAAGCAGTGGCTCTTTGGCCCAGACGGTAAATGTCTTGTTTTCAATTCTGGAGTTTTTGTGTTTTGACATTACCTTGGATTTATTTTATTAAATTACATTTGATTTTCAGTCATTCTTCATTTCCCCATGTGGCAGAGCTCATGATACATATTTTGGATGTCATTTGGGTGCTTGAGGGGGGCGCCTGGGGGTGGTCTTCTGACTGGAAGCACAAAAACACGAGATGTGTATCTCTGAGCTAACAGCAGAGGCTGATAAAGCAGCAAACGGCAAACACTGTCCCCAAACTGGCCTAAATTTCAGAGCAAAGAGCATCGGATCTTCAAGGGCACTGAGCATGTGCAGGATTAAAGAGTTAGGATCATGTGTTGTTTTTGTGAGAGCGAGACCAAAGGGAGGAATATGGATCATTTATAGCAGGCATGTCCAAACTCAGGCCTGTGGGCCCATTGCGGCCCTCTGTGTCATGCTATGTGGCCCTCTGCACAAGTTCCCAGTGCTATCCAGCCAACTTCAGCTCGGCCAACATGTAATACCTCAGTGTGAAGCTCAGGATCTCTGGAATCCAGTTGTTGACTTTGTGGGACTACTTTTCTGGTTTCACATTGTATGACACTAAGGTCGCTGAATGAGTAAATATTTGTTTTTCAACCAACTTCAGCCAACAGTCATACCTCACTTTTAATCCCTAATCCAGTCAGTCTAAGTTGTCCGCAACTGGACAATTTTGGTGAACTAAAATGGCCTTCTTACTAAAATGTTTATTTATATTTATAGCAAGAGAGAGGAGAGAGAGGAGAGAGGAGAGAGGAGAGAGAGGAGGGAGGAGAGAGAGGAGAGAGAGGAGGGAGGAGAGAGAGGAGAAAGATTGTTAAAACTAATCTTGTCATGATGAGAGTCTGCAGAAGTCAAGGGTACCTCACGTTCAAATCACAAACCAATGCAACTGTAAACCACTCCATGTGATTCTAGTTCCAGGTTCTAAGCCCAGTTTACTCAGAGATGCAGATATTCGCAAAAACTACTCCACTCCGGATTCGTAGCGTCTACATGGCAACGGAAAAAACTAGTGTTCTAGCGCCCGGCAAGTAGACAACCAGTTTGACTACTTCCTCAACAACATCCTCCTCAGGCCAAAGAACCAACGTCACTGTGTTTGGCAGCGACAGCGACAAACTGAACGACAGCCGAGGTATCGTTCTTTCAGCGGCGACAAACACCAGTGTCATGTGACTGACAATAAACCACGACAATAACAGAAGCACACAGCACCAGCGTTGATTATGTTTGTTCTACTCATGTCACATGGATGGGAGGGGATGTGTTAGGTGGGGGAGGGTGGGGGAGGTCATCGCAGACAGAGAGAGAGCACCTTCCACAACATTTAAGGACAATGGTCTCTCCCTATGGTCCCATACCATGTGGTCTCTCCCTATGGTCCCATACCATGTGGTCTCTCCCTATGGTCCCATACCATGTGGTCTCTCCCTATAGTCCAATACCATGTGGTCTCTCCCTATGGTCCCATACCATGTGGTCTCTCCCTATAGTCCAATACCATGTGGTCTCTCCCTATGGTCCCATACCATGTGGTCTCTCCCTATAGTCCAATACCATGTGGTCTCTCCCTATGGTCCAATACCATGTGGTCTCTCCCTATAGTCCAATACCATGTGGTCTCTCCCTATGGTCCAATACCATGTAGTCTATATTTTTTGGTGATTTCAACAGATTTGTGAAGTCCTCTGGGAAACTACTGTAGTAATTTAGGGCAATACGAGAATTAATTGAATTTAATTTAATCAAATCAATACAGTGGCTCAGTGGGTAGAGCATTGGCCTTTAGGCCTGGAGGTCGTGGGTTCGATCCCACCTCGACACCTTCTCCACCAACTCCCACTGATGACTGCTGTCGTTGTGTTGGGCAAGAAACTTAACCCCACTTTGCCCGAAGCCCCTGCTGAAAGATCAAGGCTATGCTCACACTTACAGAGCAGCCTTCCTCCTGTGGACTCACCACCTGCAGGAGGATCAGTGAGGGGCTGGTGCTATGTGACTTGGGTCTCTGACTGCCACCCCCCGACCCAGAAATGGATTAAGGGGTAGAAAATGGATGGATGAATCAAATCATTGTGTTCACACATTTTAATCCGGAGGTCATTTTTTAAAGCTGTGAAACGCAAACGCTGTGTGTTATTGTGTAAATATAATGATTAAATCAGGTGGTAATGTTGCTATGGATACTAGGCCCAAACAGGTGAAGTGTGAAGGCGGACATTTCATGACTCAGTTAAAACGTATGTACGACAGAAACAAGTGAATATGAACACCGAGGAGATTGGAGGTGGTGTGGAGAGAGGGGCCAGAGAAGGCCTCTGGCTGAGGCCGCCGAGCTATAGGATGTTGCCTGTTCGAATCCCAAGTTAAGATATTCCTTTATTTGTCCCACAGTGGGGAAAGGCAGAGAGCTAATACTGAGCTGAGTAAGTCATCTTTATTTATATAGCACATTTTCACAGACCAAGGTCAGCCAAAGCACTTGGTCAGAGTTCAGATATTGTTGAGCTTCACAATATCTCCCTCGCTGTGATGTCACTTCCAGGTCACACTTTATGATTGGAAAAGGGGTCAGAGGGGGATCAGTGAGGAGCCAGTCAGCGGACAATAGTGCCCCCCCTCACCCCAGGGAGGGGGACGGACATCCCTTAAATCCTCACACTGTGTGAACAAAAAGCCAATTCGAGAGGCAGCTTGTTTTACTGTCAGAGCGTCTCCGTGGAAACACACCAAGTATAAAAGTGTGTGTGTGTGTGTGCATGCGTGTATGTGTGTGTGTTTGTGTCTGTGCATGTGCGTGTGTGTGTGCATGCGTGTATGTGTGTGTGTGCGTTACCATGAGGGCGTCTGAAGCACACACGCTGTGGAAGCCGTGGTAGAAGGCGGCGAACTGTTTGTACATACTCTTGTTCAGCAGGAAGTCCACGTAGAGCTGCACATACTCTACACACACAGAGACACACACACACACACACACACATATCAATAAAGTTTGACATCATTCAAAGCTGTGGTAAAATAACAAACACACCTCGATGCCAGTGTTTAAGCTTCATTTTGTTGTTTGTCAATACAGTAGTGAGGCGTGGTAAGCTAACGTTACACTGTTAGCTTACCAAACACTGTGCTAAAGCTAACGTTACACCGTTAGCTTACCAAACACTGTGCTAAAGCTAACGTTACACCGTCATTGTTAACCACCTGTCACTAGGAGGTTTGTTCTTTCAAATGAAGCGATACATGAGATGCTCAGACATGCAATCCAAAGGCAACATGGACAAAGAGATCTACCACGCCCCTTCAGACCGACCACGCCCCCTCAGGCTGACCACGCCCCTCAGGCCGACCAAGCTGTTAGCTTACTGCTGTTACCTTACTGCTGCAGAACCCAACCCAAAGCTGAAGAACTTTTCGTTTATTTATAGCTCAAAAATCTCTGCAATGTCATATTTCTCGCCTCAAATGTTGTTAAAAGTAATATTTTAATATGTTCTATTTATGCAACTCAAAGTGCTGAACAAAAATAAGAAAGCATTAAAATCATAAATAATCACAGAACATTAAAAAGGAAGATAAAAATATAAAATCCCTCAGTTGTATGCACAGCTAAACAGAACTGTTTTAACCTGGTTTTAAACATTGTCAGAGAGGAGGCCTGTCTCACACTTTCAGGAAGATTGTTCCAGATATTAGCAGCATGAATCTGAAAAGCAGCCTCCCCATGTTTAGTTCTTTGAGCCACAGGAAGCCAGTGCAGAGACCTGAGGACTGGACTAATATGGTCGTACTTCCTGGTTCTAGTCAGGACTCGAGCTGCTGCATTTTGAATGTACTGCAGCTGTTTTACAGCCTGTTTGGACAGACCTGTGAGCAGGCCATTGCAGTAGTCTAACCTACTGGAGACAAATGCATGGACAAGAATCTCCAGGTCTGCTTTAGACACTATGTTTTTGATCCCGGCAATGTTTTTTAGGTGGTAAAAAGCTGCTGATGTTACTGATTTGATGTGGCTATTAAAATTTAAGTCTGAGTCCATTATTACCCCTAGATTTCTGACCTTGTTTGAAGGTTTTAGGGAGAGAGACTGGAGGTGACAGATGACGCTCTCTCTTTGTTTCTGAGGACCAAAGACAATCATTTCAGTTTTGTCTGCGTTTAGCTGAAGGAAGTTGTTTTGCATCCACTCACTGATCTGTTGGATACAGTGAAGGAGTGAGTCCACTGGTCCATGTTCTCCTGCAGTCAGTGAGACATAGATCTGAGTGTCGTCTGCATAGTTATGATAGGACACTTTGTTTCTGCGTATTAACTGACCTAACGGCAGCATGTAGAGATTGAACAGAAGAGGTCCCAGGATCGACCCCTGTGGTACTCCACAGGTCAGGGCCATATGATCTGAGACACAGTTTCCAATCTCCACAAAATACTTCCTGTCTTCAAGGTAAGACCTAAACCAACTTAAGGCGGTGCCAGCGACACCAACCCAGTCTTCTAGTCTCTGTAAGAGGATTTCATGGTCGACAGTGTCAAAGGCAGCACTTAGATTGAGACTTTGCCTGTGTCAGTGTTCAGCCGGATATCGTTTGTTACCTTGACGAGAGCAGTCTCAGTGCTGTGGTGGGGTCTAAAGCCGGACTGAAACATATCAAATGAGTTGTTGATTATAAGAAATCTAGTAAGCTGTTGGTAGACAACTTTTTCAAGGATTTTCCCCATAAACGATAGTTGTTAAGTACGGTGGCATCCAGACTGCTCTTTTTTAGTAGGGGCCTGATGACTGCAGTTTTCAGGGCCTTTGGGAATATTCCAGAATGAAGGGACATGTTTCTGTGTGAGTGAAGGTAACAGACTGCTCAGAACAGACTTCAGAAATCTAGTGGGTAGTACATCCAGGCTGCATGTGGAGGAGCTCAGACTGGAGATTATCTCTTGGACAGTTTGATCATTTACAGGTGCAAAGTAAGTTAGCTCAGAGAGCCTTGCTGGCTGTTGGATTGTTATCTGTGGATTGGAGACAATGACGTTTTTGATGCATTGAACTTTGTCATTGAAAAAATTTGCAAACTCATTGCATTTACGTTTGGAAGTAAGCTCTAATGGCATTTGAACAGGGGGGTTTGTTAATCTATTAACTATTGAGAACAGAACACGCAGATTGTTACTGCAGCCTTCAATCATTTCAGAAAAATACCTTTCTCTCGTACTACGTAGCATCCGGTTAAACTCGCACAACTTATCTTTGAAGATCTCGTAATCAACCTGGAGGTTGGACTTGCGCCACTTCCGCTCGGCCCTCCGGCACTTTCTCTTTTGTGCCCTGACCGAGTCTGCTTTAGCCCATGGCGCCTTCTGCTTATTTTTCACTATTTTAACCTTCACAGGAGCGATGGTGTCCAGAACATTCAAAACACTAGAGGTGACAGAGATAAACAGTTCATCTACAGTAGAACACGATGCATTCTCAAAGTTTATCATTCCCATAAATTTTCCACCCGTGTTTTCATTTATGCGTCTTCTTTGAACAACTGCAGCGTCTTCTGGTGGTTTGTTAGTGAAACACATGTCAAAAAATACACAAAAATGATGCGAAAGAGCAACATCGACCACGTTTACATTTGCAATATTCACCCCCTTAGTAACTAACAGGTCTAGAGTGTGCCCTCTGCTGTGGGTGGGGCCACTCACATGCTGAGTGAGACCAAAGGATTCAAATAAAGAACTCAGCTCATTTGCATTTCTGTCATTAACATTATCCACATGAATATTAAAATCCCTGTAATAACCAAACTATCAAAGTCTGTGCATACAACTGAAAGCAACAATGTAACTATTGTTCAGGACTGTCACGGTCGACGTGGTTTTGTTGATCCCAGACTCAGCAATACAATTCAGTTATTGATATAACAAGCTCACCTCTGTATTACAGTGATGCAGTCTCACCTCTGCATTAAAATGATGCAGTCTCACCTCTGCGGTTGTGTTTGGTCACTGGGATCTTGTCTCCACCAGTTTTCAGGTTAAATGCTTTGACGACACCCATCTCCTCCTGGAACACCTGCGATACACACAAAGATACACACATTTAAACCTGCAATACACACATGTGAAAATACACACATGTAAAGATCAGTGGGCGCAGGTCCCGGCTTAACACGTCCGTGAGCATATGCCCTGACATACTTGCAATACCACTCCGGGTAGACCCAGAAAGAGAATTATCCATCACTTTTGAACGGCGTCTTCTTTCCTCTCGAAAACGGCTTTAGAGGATGGTCCAAAAGCATGGATCTATAATAATAACTGGATAGGGTATTACTAGCTTATAGCTGTAATTCACGTGGGCTACCCAGAAAAAAGTCCCATACAACTCAATGTAAACTAAAACAGCTCGACCTCAGCTGACAGAGAACCTACAGCTTCATAAAGGTCGGATTTTGTGGGGATTTTAGTGTCCCTTGTCATCCTGAACTTTTTTTCTTCTTAAATCCTTTGGTTTTCTTTAAATCCACACTTTACTGCCGCAAACTCTGCCCCTTTCCTTCCCGCTCTGACTCCGTTCTACTGCTGCTCTGATCGGCTCTGATTGGTCAAAGCGCGGCCGAGCCCCTTGGTGCACGTGCACGAGAGCCACACACGCATATTTGGCGCAATGCATCATGGGAGCTCGTCCACTGCACAGAACCGGGAGGACCAGACGATGCCCAAATAAAGGCGACTTCAGCTAGTCTCCCGGTCTCCGTGAAGTCCCATGCGCTACTGAGCACAAGCCATTCATTTGAATAGGGCGCCATCTTGGATCACCGGGGCTTGTCCAAAAGTGGCTCTTGGTCCAAAAAATCTACTGAGGGGAGTTCTCAGTTTTTGTGGACCAGTCTAGTTTAGCCTCTGTGGACTTCAGAGGGCACATATTAAATAAATGTGCAAATGTGTTTTTCCACATTGTCCTGTGGGAGGGGCTGCCTGCTGGCATTTTGAAACTGCCAAAAGTGATGTCACAAACTGCCAAAAGTGACACATTAGTTTCAACGGTGGAGAAAGGCGTGACTACATCCTTTATAGTTACAGTCTATGATACACACACACACACACACGCACAAGCACACACACACACGCACACACACACACAGATACAGACACTTAAAGACGTTACAATAACTATTTTAGAGAAAAAACTGATTTCTTCTCCTTTGTCCAGTTTCATTTAACAAAATATAAATATATGTCTGCTATAGCTTATAGTCTGTCATTACATGTGAAACCATGTGACATCACCAGTCAGGAAATACACAAACGCGAGCGACAAGGGCTGGACAGACTACAGCCACTGACTACTACATCTCTCGTTCGCGTCTCTCTCTCTGGTTTCTGGTCTCACTGACTTCTGGTTAAAGGATGATGGCACATGGTCTTTTTGAGTCTTTACCTTACTTCATGGGTCTCCAACATGTGGCTCGGGAGCTACCAGTAACTTGCCAGATCCTCTCAGGTAGCTTCCCAAAGGATTTAGAATTGAACACACAATCTTGAATGTGTATTACAAATATAAATAAACGGTTATTCAGTATTACAGAATATTTTACATGTGCTCTTCATGTGTGTTCTCTCTATTTATAATGATTACATAAGTTTGTATCACAAAGTAGCTCTTTGCCTTTTCTGATGTATAGAGTAGCTCTCCTATTGAGAAAGGTTGGAGAATACTGAATGATTACATCCACACTAACCAGAACCATACCATTTTAACATAATTATTTTAATTTTATTTATGTTTTGGTCTGAGTGGATTATTTAATCAGTCTTATATGGTCATTCATACTATCACACACACTATCTGTGAAACTATCTATGTATCTATCCATCTATCTATCTATGTTACTATCTATCTATGTATCTATCTATGTATCTATCTATCTGTGTAGCTATCTTTCAATTTATCTATCTGTCTATCTATATCTATCTATGTGAAGATGCGGAGCAGAAGCACGTGTAGACTTGGTGCTGGGGTCAGTGGGTGCATTTCTCACCCATGGTTCAAATATCAGACTGTTAACTGATAAATAACAAATAACTCGCTGTGATTGGAGGATGCTGTCTGTGTTCGAGGCTCGTTCATTTCACAGGATGTTTATGTGAATAGCAGCTCTCCTCATTCACTGTGTTTTGGTCATTGTTTAGAGAAGATCAAGAACCATGATCATTTCCTAAATGTACTTCTGGGTCTGATCCTAGTGGATACAGTTTCCTCGGTTGAATCCCCTCCGACCAATCAGAGAGCAGGAAAGGCGGGTGCTGTAGGTTGGTGTTGGTGACGTCAAGAGTTAACGCTGAATTTGCCGGTTGTAATTTGGCAGAGAATGTGATAGTAATATAATCCAAATATCAAGAAATTGAAGCTGGAGCAAGAGAAATGTTTAGAAAATGTCATTTCTGCAAAGATGTTTTGTCTCTACTCCCCACGGGCTCCGCTAGCTGCAAATTAGATGGCTAAAGCTAGGCTAAATGCTAAAGCTATAGTTTTTCTCAGTTGCTTTGGTGCATTTCTCACATCACGCTTCACATTTGCACAACAGTTAGTTCATTTCTCAGAACAATTAGTACAAACTGCAAAACCTTGTGGAAAACCTGCAAAAGTGTATCACCTTCTCAAAATGAAAAGTTAATTCCTCAAAAGCAAGTCTTCAATATAATACCTGACAATATTGCATATGAACAACAGTCAAATGACTTAGTCATGTTTTCATTGTGAAAGTTTACTCTCTCTGTGTTTTCAGTGTAAAAAAGTCAGATCTCGGTGACACTTGGTGAGAACTATACACTGTACAGCCCAAAACTACAGTAAAGTTACACATGAGTGTATTTAGCGAAGTAACTGAGTACAAGACACATATGCATGTGAGTATGTATGTGTGTATGTACTGTGTGTGTGTGTGTGTGTGTGTGTGTGTGTGTGTGTGTGTGTGTGTGTGTGTGTGTGTGTGTGTGTGTGTGTGTGTGTGTGTGTGTGCACTTGTTTTCAACTCCTGGTGGGTTCCATACCCTGAGTTTCCACTCACGTCATGGGGACTGGTTTTACGTGGTGGGGCCCGAACACCGGACCCCACTGGTCCAAGCTTAATAATCAATGGGTAATGCTTTTCTAACGGTCCTTATGCAGTCTCTGTGAAAATATGGAAAGGACCCCTGGAGGTTTACTTTCCTGAAAAAAGTGTGTTATGTGTCGGAACCCTGGTGGTGGGTTGCGGAATATCAAGGAGGGGCACACTGGGGCAATTTCAGTCCAGCAGGCTGGAGCCAATCATGGAGCAGCACAACAGAGGAAATCAGGTATCAGGCTAGAAAAGGTGCAAGTGTGTGGTTCATTAGGCTGCAAGAAATCATGGAGGAGCACACTGAAGCGCACGCTTACAAACCACTGGTAAGTGCTGACTACAAGTCATGACTTCAAATTGTTATATAGAATTATTACAAATTATTTGTTGTTTGTGCAGCTTAGTCAAGAGTCCCTAATTGATGAAGTCGACTCAGATTCTGACGATTTAACTGTCAAGAAGAAACCTGTAAAAAAGTATGGAAAAAGAAAAATCAAAAACACTTTTCTTCAAGACTCAGAAAATGACGAACCAAAGGCAAATAAGATTGTTATCATGCAGCTGCAAAAGAAGAAAAATGGGGGCAGGGTTTACAGCAAGAGACACTTCTGCCTCTACTGTTCAATGTCCTGCCACAAAATGTCCCGTCATTTGACTAGAAAACATGGAAATGAAAGTGACGTAGCCAGAGCATTGGCTCTACCTGTGAAATCTAAAGCACGTAAACTTCAGTTTGATTTGATCAGGAATAGTGGAAACCGTGAGCACAATTTTGAGGTTTTAAAGGCCGGCATTGGAACTTTAGTCCCAGCTAAACAGCCAAATTCCCCAGTTAAATCCAGTGAGTTTTTGCACTGTATAGACTGTGGGGCATTGCTTAAGCGAAAGTCGCTGTGGAGGCATGTGGCCAGGTGCCGGCTTTCACAGAAAGATGCCCAGGCTAAACCAGGCTAAACCAGGTAGAAGTAGGGTCCAGTCCCTCTGCTCCCTAGCCCAGCCTGTACCGGAGGGCATCAGCAAAAAGCTGTGGTCTTTAATTTCGGCAATGCATCAGGATGAGGTCACGGGTGTTGTCAAAGCAGAAAAGGGGATTCTGAGACTCGGAGAGCACCTGTACTTAAAACACGGGCATGATAAGACTAAGCATGATTACATTAGGCAGAAAATGAGAGAAGTCGGTAGGTTAATTAACGAAGCAAAAACCGCAGGGAAACTGAAAACAATTAAGGATTTCTTTATTCCTTCCAACTTTAACCATGTGATTGATGCAGTCAGGTCTGTGGCTGGATATGATGAGGAAACAAATCAATACAAGACTCCATCCTTGGCCCTCAAACTCGGCCATAGCCTCAGAAAGCTAGCAGATATTCTTGAATGTGACTCAAAAATGGAGCATTGTGTTGATGAACTATTTATTAAAAACCTCCAACGAAGCCGGCTGCTTTTTGAGAAGAGGTGGGACGTCTGTGTTTCTTCTGCTGCCCTACAGACCCTCCGGCAAGCCAAGTGGAACACTCCGGACCTGCTCCCTCTGACTGAGGACGTTAGAGCCATGCATGCACATATTGAGGTATGTCGACCTGAATATGTGCAAACCCTAATAAGTGAGCCAACGTCTAAGCATTGGTCTAAACTGGCAGTTTTGACTCTTTGTGAGGTCATTATTTTCAATCGAAGAAGGGAAGGTGAGGTTTCAAAGATGCCACTGACAGCGTTTACCTTAAGAAGTAAGACTGGGATCCATTCTGACATTGCTCTGGGACTGTCCGAACTTGAGAAAAAGCTGTGTCAGCATTTTCAACGCATTGAAATTAAAGGGAAAAGAAGTCGGAAAGTGCCGGTTCTTTTGACTCCTGAAATGATTGCTTCGATGGAGGTGCTGGTGGAGAACAGAAGGGCCTTTTCCATCTCTGACCATAACCCATACTTCTTCTCCCGCCCGGGCGCAGACACCCACATCAGGGGATCAGACTCCCTACGGCAGGTAGCCAAAGAATGTGGTGCGGTGCATCCAGAGATGCTATCCTCAACCAAACTTAGAAAGCACATAGCTACTATGTCTACAGTTCTCAATATGAAAGAGAATGAGATGGACATACTTGCCAACTTCCTCGGCCATGACATTCGCATCCACAGACAATATTACAGACTACCAGAGGGGACACTGGAGCTGGCCAAAATCAGCAAAGTGTTGATGGCCATGGAGCAGGGAAGAGTGACGGAATTCGAAGGAAAGAGCCTCGACCAGATACAAATTGAGCCTGAAGGTAATTCTTGATATTATTAAAATATGTATGATTTTTTTCCCCTAAAGGCCACTTGTATTTTTATTTTCTGTGCGACAGGGAGAGCAGTAGAGATCCTCTCACAAACGGACGGGCTAAAAGAAACTTCAAGCGGAGAACCTTCAACCATTCATCCAGATGCACCCCATGGTAGTGGCAGTGCCCCTTCTGGTAAGTGTACCAGGTGGGGGATTACAGCCAGGCTGCTTGGTCCTAACCCTGGGAGTGTATATTGCTAATATATTTTTATTTCTCTCCCTAGAACGTGTAAGAAAGCCATGGTCTGCATCTGAGGTGAAGGCTGTGGAGAAGACCATGACGCCTTTCATACAGACTGGAAAAGTCCCTGGGAAGTCTCACTGCCTGACCTGCATTAATGCCTCACCAGATGACCTTAGACATCGGACATGGAGTGGCATTAAATTCTATGTCAAAAATAGAATCACTGCAATTCGAAAAAAAAATCTAAAATAAAATTCCTTTAAAAGAGTTGTTTGTTTTCTATTGACTGTTTTGTATTACTTAAAGTAGTCCCAGTAAAAAAAGATTATGTCTATGGGTCCCATTCTGAACGGCCCTGTCAAAGGGACCCACCAGGTAACAAAAACGTGTATGTGTGTGTGTATGTATGTGAGTATGTACTGTGTGTGTGTATGTATGTGTGTGTGTGTGTGTGTATATGTATGTGTGCATGTACTGTGCGTGTGCGTGTGTGCGTGTACTGTATGTATTTCACATATTTGCTGCATATGCTCTTTGCGATTCTACAGCATTGTGCAACAAAAATAAAGTCACACACATGTCTTTACGTAGAACAAACAAACAGAATATCATTATGGTAGAACTGTGACCAATGTAAACAAAACACACACTGAATGACTATTCAGAAGTTAAAAGTATGTTTCATTTTGACTGACAGGACAGATTCAAATTATCCATCCATCCATCCATTTTCTACCCTTTAATCCATTTCTGGGTCAGGGGGGTGACAGTCAGAGATGCCACCCAAGTCTCATAGCACCAGCCCCTCACTGACCCTCTGCAGGTGGTGAGTCCACAGGAGGACGGCTGCTCTCTGAGTGTGAGCATAGCCTTGATCTTTCAGTGGGGGCTTTCAAATTATAATGTTATGAAACAGCAGCAGATACATTTCCAAAAGCATTTGTAATCTGTTCATAGGAATGAGAAACTGCCATGATGATGTGTAACAATGACTCAATATTGTGGAGGTTGAACTAACCTAACTAATGAGAACTTTAAGTCTGATGTAAGAAATGCACCAAAGCGACTGAGAAAAACTGTAACGGAGCTCAATGGAGCAAATCCAGAAAAAATGAAATGAGTACGATGGTGTGGTCAGACCAGGCTAGAATGGAACATCTCCCTCTGTGTTTCTTCATATAAGTTCTCAGTTTGTTTAGAATGACTCTGACCACCTGCTCTCTGCAAAGTTAAAGCTACAGTGATCAAAGAGCAGAGAGTGTACGGAGCTCTGACCTGGAAGCTGAGGTAGAAGTCCTCCTCCACGTTCCCTTCGTAGGAGAGCAGCTCCCCCAGACCACGAGCCAGCTCCTGCACACCAGAAACACCACATTCAGAATCACTTAGTTGCTTTTTACAGTAAAACCCCATTGGAATACATTTGCAAAAGTTCCCAGAGTGCACAAGACAAGTACATGGATAAAACAAGGTTAAAAGTACAGAAATAAAACAAACAAAACAGTTAAAGTGATAGTTTGGAACTCTAAATGAATTACACATTTTAAGAATTTTATTAAATTGACCTCCTGGCCTTAAATGTTGATATAAAATAAGTCATTTTATGAGTTATACTAATACGGGTAAGTCCCGCCTTGCCTAATCTCAGCCATAGCTCAAAATCCACGATGCCGTCCACTTTAACCAATCAAGTGATGCCAAGGGCTGTCAATCATCTTTCATTTTATTCCGTTCTGGTTGAAGGTGTTGGTCGTGATACTGACTTGAAATCGATGCCTAGAGAATGTGTTTGGGAGAAACCAAGGAGACTGACATTTTGGAAGTGAGACAGCTGCGCCCCCTGGTGGCCAGTTGGAAAATTGTGTGTTGCTAAAGCTCAGCAGTGGTACATCTGAGACCAATACTTAGAGACCACTGCACTCTGACCACGGCTCTGTGGCCTGACCACTGTATTTATACTGAGTAGGGGTGGGCTCTGTCAGGGTGGGCTCTATCAGGGGTGGGCTCTGTCAGGGGTGGGCTCTGTCAGGGGTGGGTTCTGTCAGGGCTGGGCTCTATCAGGGGTGGGCTCTATCAGGGGTGGGCTCTGTCAGGGGTGGGCTCTATCAAGGGTGGGCTCGATGCAAGGATTCAGCAACCAGTCTAAGACCATGTAAATTCAATTCAATTCATTCTTTATTAAGAACACAGATAGAACTGGTTCATAGAAACAAAATAATAAAAAAAAAATAATAATAATAATAATAAAGAGACAAAAAAACATATGTAAGTAAGTAAGTAAGTAAGTAATTATTTATATACCGCCTTTTCACTGCAGATCTGAGTCTCAAAGCGGTTTACAATTGTTATTTTTTTGGGCACTTGTCTCTCACTCCACACAGAGATGGGAGCGGGGCCAGTACAGGAGGCACATGCTAGAACTATTTTACATATTTTTAGCGGTAGGGGAAACCGGAGTACCCGGAGGAAACCTACGCAGACACGGGGAGAACATGCAAACTCCACTCAGAAAGGCCCTGGTCCGACCGGGATTCGAACCCAGGACCTTCTTGCTGAGAGGCGAGAGTGCTATCCACTCAGCCACCGTGCCGCCCGATATGTATACAGTAAAATTATAAACAGGTGTACAGGCAGGACCTCCAATGCCTCCATAGGTCAGAGGAAATCCTTACAGAGCTCCTCCTTGGACAGACCAGAGCTTGGATGATCTGGTTTGACAGATTCACGGCTCTGCACATAAAAGAGTAAATACAATATCTGATGGAGACAACACATGACCTCGCACCACAATTTACAAACATTTCACTGGCGCTACAAAGCCTGGGCACTTTCAACAGAATCCTCAGAGAGTCATTGTGAGCCACATTTAGACTCCGCATACTCTTTTTCTTATATCTACACCAGAGCTGTGCAGTATACAAGGGCGAGCAGAAAGCCTTGAAAAGATTAACTTTAACATCTCTAGAGCACATGTGAAACTTCCGAACGAGCATATTAGCCTGGCCATAAAGTTTACACTGCTGTCGATACATGTCTCTGTCGTCAGAGAGGTCAGAGGTTATGTAGTGTCCAAGATACTTTACCTCCTCTGTGGGTTGGAGAATATCACCACATAAAAGGAAATCAGGGAACACTAGTTTTTTATCCTCCTTTGTTTTTACAATCATGATTTGACTTTTAGAGGCATTATACTTGATGTCATGCTCTATGCCATATCGGGAGCAGATATTTAACAGCTGCTGTAGACCTGCACTGTAAGGACACAACACTACAAGGTCATCTGCATACATTAAATGGTTACACAGGTGACTGCCAACCATGCATCCAGTTTTACACTGATTTAGCTGCAGAGACAGGTCATCAATATAGACATTAAATAGAAGAGGAGACAAAATTCCACCCTGACGCACCCCATTGCTAACCCTGAATGGGTGGAATCGCCCCATCTGACCTGCATGGACTGGCAGGAGTACCAGAATGCAAGTATCCTTATGAGGAAGTCTGGAACACCTCGATCTAATAATTTTTGGAACAATGTTCCATGGTTGACTTGATCAAATGCTTTAGATGCGTCCAGAAAACACATGAACATAGTTGATCCCTGAGAGTTATATTTGCCCAGCATCTCTTTGAGGGCATAGATGCACAGGTCAGTACCATGTGCAGGCTTGAAGCCAAACTGGTTAGCAGTGGTGTACAAATATGGCTCGAGTCGGGTTAAAAGAATAATCTCCAAAACCTTTGACACGGAGCTTGCTAAAGCAATTGGGCGGTAGTTGTTACTGTCACTGAGTTTACCAGTCTTATTTTTGATTATAGGGATCAATATAATGGACAAAAGTGACTGAGGCAAAAGGCCATGAACCAGAAACCCAGTGAAGCAGAGGGCTAAGAGAGGATATAACCGTGAGCTGGCAAACTTTGCATGTTCAGAAGTCACTTTATCTAAACCACTGGACTTGTTGTTTTTCAGTTTGAAAACAGCTTCATACACTTCTTGAGGGGTGACTATCACTCCTCTGTGATTTCCAACAGGTTTTGTGACATTTGTATTAATATTGCTCTCAACGCAATTGAACAGATTATTGTAATAATTCTTCCAGTGCTGGAATATATTATAGGGTCCACTTACACCATCAATATTATTGGGCAGGGAGGTTTTAGATTTATTTATCTTACCAACCTCTTTCCAGAAGTCAGTATACTTATTATTTTGCAGCTTTGACACTAAAGAATCAGCCCTTAATGTGTTTTCATTACGTTTAATATATCTGAGGGCATATTTATAGTTGGCATTTGCCCGTTTTTTATATTCAAAAAAAGGGCCAGATCTTGGTTTTCCACCTTCATGCCAGGCCTTGAAAGCCCTCCTAGCCTCAGCATGTGGTTCCTCAACAAACATGTTCCACCCAGGTTTACCTCTATGATTTTTCTTCTTTCTATTATATAAAAGCTCTCCAGATTTAATGAGAATATCTACAATTGTATCATATAAGGTGTAGAGTTGAGCCCCATGCTCAGGATCAGTACAATTAACATTGCGACACAGTATGGCACTTTTAGGTAGTATAACATCCTTAAAAAAATACTCAGTTCTTTGAGTGTAGGCATGCACTTCTTCACAGCTAAGGCTAGACCAGTCCGGGCACTCACTTAAACTATTCACAGGTACATTTACAGGAGTTAATTTGGGAACATTTTCTACGTTACAGTACACAGTTAATGGCATATGATCACATGTAGTCATATTATAATCAATATGCATTTTCACAATGGTCGCATGTGCGTCAGCACTACATATGCAGTGATCCAGCCACGATGTGGTGTGCCATGCATCACTAACATACGTATAGCTTTCTGCAGGCAGAAGCTCCTGGCTGGACAGGACGAGTCTATTTTCACAGCAAAACTGTTTCAAATGATTACCAAAAGAAGAGGTATCATCTGAAATATCTGCATTCATATCTCCAACTCTATATATACACGAACAGTCCAAGTCTTCAATAAAAGCCATAATACATGCCAATCTATTTACATATTCATCTCTCTCTTTTTCAGTCTATGGTGGTCTTCCCCTCCACCTCCCCCACCCACACTCCCCTCTGACGCGCTATATTGGACGAGGCGGGCCAGAGTGATGACTTCCCATTAAAAAGATCCGCATGTTTTTCCACATGTACCGTGTCTCTCCCCATGTTTGTTTGAAATATGTGTCTGTTTTGCTCTATGCTGTTGAATAACTGTTATTCTACTGTTTGTCGCATGGCGCCGTAAAGATGGCGCCGTGGCAAGAGCTCTGGTGTGTGTCGTCTTCTGGTGCACACCGGGGTAGTCTTGCACAGTTTTCCAATGTGGTTTTACTGCAAATGGCAAATAAAATGAATCTCATCTCATTATCAGTGCATTCATACGGAGTATATACATTCAGAATAATAAATTTACCATCATTGCAGTGAAATTCTAGTCCAATAGCCCAGTCCACTCCCAGTTTTAGGACTTTAACCATACTGTCATAGTTCTTACGCCATAAAATGGCTACACCACCAGCAATCCTGCCTTTAATCAGTTTTTTATCAAGATCAGTAGTGGACTCTCCAGCCCCATGAAAATCCATATGTAGGCCATTGAGTCCACCAAGGTCCTGTTTG